TTTCTTATATAAAATTAAATAAAATAAAAAAAATTTAAAAAAAATAATTATGGTTTTGTTACTGGAAGAAGTGGGATTTTGAATTCCCATCCTCTCATAATTCATGTTCATTGAAATTCAAGCTCTTTAGAACTAGGAATAAGAGGGAAGAACATAAATGTCTCTGTCTCTATGTATGGAAATAGAAAAAAATCATCAATATACAAACATGCTTCATCTCTATCCATGTGGACCAACAAAGCAATATGAGACTTACTTTCTAGTGGCACAAAAAGTGATAAGGAGAAAAGTTTGTATATAATATTGTCCAATAGATATGGCAAGATACATATAGCTATTAAAGTTAGAAGTAATTAAATTTCATTTTTTTCAGTAAGTGTTCTATAGATTTCATAATATATCATAATACAATATTAGGATATTACTTAATCTCTTTTTGCTAGTGTCTTACATGTATTGCTTTGGTCATTTTGAGAAATACAAGGGCAAAAGTTTATCCATAGACTTCATAATATATAGTAATTAGGATATTAATTAATCTCTTTTGACCAGTGTCTTACATGAATTGCTTTGGTCATTTTGAAACATTAATTTTAAAGTAATAAAATAACTTGAAGCTTATTCCTTTAATAATTACAAATAATTTATAATAAAATGTATTAAATAATATTGCCTTTAGAAATAGTAAATTTTTTTGTAATATGTATATTCATCTCATTTAGTATCTCATAAATCCTATGGGTCAATACTTCTTTTTTTTAACTTTTTTTTAAATTTTATTTAATTTTATATAACAGTCCAATTAAATGAAAACAAATATTTATACACAATATTTGGGAATTTGGGCGTCGTTCTTTCCAAACTACTTCCTGCTGGTAAGGGGCACTGTCTTGGGGGATTCGAAGAAGATTCAGATATCCTGGCTGTTGTCTGTAGGGCTGTTTTGTCCAGCTGTTTTGAATGTAGGATCAGCTTGTACTCTGTTTCAGGCGGTCTGGCGTGATCAAGCCACATTAGTCTGGAAGGAATCCACATCTTTTCATTTTCTGTGGAAACAAAAATAGAAATCCATTTCCCCAGTAACTTGTCCTTCAACTCTGGCCAATAGCCGGCGGAAGAGTGGGTCAATACTTCTATACTGTAAGTTAACATTAAGTCCAGTTATTCTGATTCTGAGTCAAGAAATTCTAACTGAATTCCATAATAATCCAATACTTCATTCTTATATAAATGTGCCTTCATCTGATCCCTTGCTTTCACCATCACCATTCTTTGACCAGTATCTTGTAGGCATAGAGATAGTCTGCTATCTCTATGGAGTAGAACTAGGAAATCTTCCTTATCAACTTCTGAATTCTAAAGTTAAGCCTGATATGAAAAGTAGGGTAGTTGGTTCATCCACATTTCTTTTTGGTATCCCATATTTTCCCTTCCAACATAAATTCTGGTTGCAAAGTTTCTACTTTATCCTCTCTTTGACCTTTCAAATGTAAGCTTAAATTATGAAATTGCCAATGTTATGCTGTGCCAGATAGTTTTATGTCAGTTTGACAAAAACCAAAGTTATCTGAGAGAAGGGAACCTCAACTATGAAAATGCCTCCATGAGATCAGGCTGTATAGGTTTTTCTTATTTAATAATTGATGAAGGAGGGCCCAGACCACTGTGGTGGTGCCATCCTGGAACTTCCTATATTCTATAAGAAAACAAGTTGAGTAAGCAAAAAGGAGCTGTAGTGGGATATTTACTTTCTCTCCTTCTGTGGCACAGACTATGCCCATTGGGAGGTGATATTGAGGTTTAATAAGGATCAGGATGAACAGATAGGCCGAATAGATGTTTATTCAGGGAGAAATAACTTACAACCTAGACAGATGAACACCAGCAAGTTCCACCGGATGCTCTCCTCTCCAGGTCTGGCCAGCAAGAGAGCATTCCCTGGCTCCTCCTCAGACCTAGTTCCACAGGTCACTTTTGCCCCTGGCTCCACCCCCAATGGGTCAGTGCCACTGAAGGAGACAAAGTGAATATCCCACTACAAGGAGCAAACCAATCACCAGCACTCCTCCATGGCTGTGTATCACAGTTTTTAAGTTTTCAAGTTGCCTCTCTGCTTTTGTTCTATCCTTACTGCTGTTGATGATGAGCTGTTATATGGAACTCTCAGTGAAATAAACCCCCTTGCACTCAATTTACTTTAGATCATGGCATTTCATCAGAGCAACAGTAATCCTAACTAAGACACATGCATACTACATCTACATTTTCTACCTCATTTTAAAGGGGGAATTTAATAGCTATAGCAGTTAGATGAAGTCATCAAAGTTGACTTATCCCTAAGTGGAATCTATTTTAAGAAATAAAAAACTCTCTGGTGTGACTTTACATTTTAGGGTTATTTCTTGCATAATTATTTGGCTCATGCCTCATGTGATTCAATGCTTTAATAATTCATGAAATTCCAACAGCTTACCTCTTTATATCACATCATCATTCCTGCTTCTTCCTGTATTAGTGTGTAATAAGCTACCTCAAAATGCCATTTTGAAATAGCCATTGTTTGCTGTACATGTAATTACTTGATTGGTTACTCAGAAACCAAACATAGGGAAAGTAGCTGAGCTCCATATCTACTTTGTTAGCAAGCTTATATTTCACTCTAAATTTAATGTCAAGGTATTAGCTTTTATCATTGGAAATATAAAATTTTATTTTATGTTTTAAAACATCAGTCTGACTACTCTGCTAGAAAAGAAATAGAAATTAATTAAAATTAAGATGTTATCCTTAGGTAGAGCCGTGAAGATATATGTGTGTGTGCGTGTGTGTGTGTGTGTGTGTGTGTGTGTGTGTGTGTGTGTGTGTGCACAAGTACATGAGTGTCCCTCTGTGCAGAATCTCGAAAGGGTACTCCAGTATCATTCCTCATGCAGTGATATATATTTTATTTTATTATTATTATATTTGTTTTAGATAAGGTCTTTCCCTTCCCTGGAACGTGCTGAGTAGTCTAGAATGGCTGGTGTGTGAGCACCAGTGTTATCCTGTCTCAACCTCTGAAGCACTGGAATTCTAAACATTTGCCACCAATCAACATTTTTTCCCTGTAGTACTAGGGAAACTCCGGTCCTCATAGTATGTGGCAAGCATCTGTTGCTCTAAACCATCCTCCATCTTTTAGAATAGAAGTTTGAAGCTTAGAGAATAGATTGGGGTGAGAAATACATTTTAGTTTTGTGGTAGTGATAAATAATGAAGTAAATGAGGGATGAAGACTCTATTTTGGCCTAAGCTTCAGAGCTTTAAATCCCTGACCACTTGACTTCATCATTTCTTGGTTTTACATGGTAGGAAGCAAAGTGGCTGACCTCATGCCCCTCAGGAGGCTGAGAGCAGACAAAGCACATCTGCTGCTAGGCTTCCTCCTTGGTTTACATTTGCTCCATCAGGGCCCATCTCCCCCTTTCAGTTGTTGTATCCAGAGATAATCATATTTGTGAACACACATAATGCACATTTAGAAGTATGCCTTACTAATTTCCTTGGCTTATCCAAATCCAGGAATACTTCTATTGTAAAAGCATTTGATGGACTCAGACACCCTGAACATGGGTCTCAGTTAGAAGGCCTGGGCAGTCTAAGGCACCTCTGACAGTGGAACCAGGATATATCACTGGTTCACAAAAGGACTTTGGGATACTCCCTTAGCCTAGAGGCAGGATGGAAGGTCTAGCCCCCTACTCAAAATGGCTTGACAGATTTAGATGATCCCTCCTGGCAGGTACCAACCTACAAGTGGAGTGTGGGGGTTGGGACAGGAGGGTAGTCGGGGGTCATAGGAGGGTGGAAGAGAGGGAGGGAGGGTCGGAGAGAGAACTGGGATCGATATGTAAAATAAGATAAATAAATAAATAAATAAATAAATAAATAAATAAAAGAAGTAAGTAATATCATAGATAAATCTGCACATTATTGTATAAAATGCAAGCAAAACCCCTAAATATATGAATTTATCTTAGAATTGCTGACCAAGGGAACCAAACAGGCAAATGTTGTCGCATAGATATCAAGGGCCTATGGCAGGGAAAGGGGGTTTATCAAGTGTACCACATTCTCTGAAGGGACTCACAGGACACAGAAGTGGCCATGAGTGGTATCATCACTAAGGCTACTAGGAACGTAGCAAAGAAAGGTTTCATTAGTTTAGATGAAAGGCAAGATTTGGAATTAGAAAAGTAGATCCTGTGTGCTATCATTTTAATCAACATTTTTGAAACTTTTCTGATTGAAGGAACAAACACAGTAAAGAGAAACAATAATGATACAGAATCAGGAGAAGCTTGCTTTGTTGGGTGATTTGTTCTTACCTAGTACAAATGGTACAATACAGAGTGAAAACTGATCCTGAAGGAAGAACAGGTGGATCCAGGTCCATAGTGTTCCAGAGTAGAATACGGAGATAAATGGCAGGAACCTCAGTTAAGAAAATAAAATAATAATAATAATAATAATAATAATAATAATAATATAGAAAGAACACTGGGGCTCAAAAGAGTAGGATCATGTCATTCTCTTCACAAGAAATAGAGTGCTTCTTGTAGGCTTGCAGATTTATTACAGGGCCCCCAATTTTCATTTATTTTCCTTCCATGTGAAAGGAATATTAACCAGTAAAATGGAAGTATCTTGTCTTGGTAGAACAATAACAAAAGAGTTGACTCTAGAAAACAGCAGCAAGACCTAGAGAGATGGTTCAGCCGTTAAAGGCTAGGCTCACAATCAAAAATATAAGAAAACAGCAGCAAGCTGAGTCTGTTTTCAAATTTGAATGCTAGATTTTCTTCCAAGTGCCCCCATGAACATAATTTCAAATGTTTTGAGAATTCTCTTTCAAACAGATGCTTGGAAGTTCCATGTCCTTCTTGTGGTGCTTAGAGGTGGGTTGTGGAGCCTGGAATATATATCAAATACTCATATGCCCTTTATTTTTGTTTTAGTCAGAATGTAGGGGCCTGGGCTTCACCCTTCCCCACTGGGGCAGTGGGTGGTAAGGTGAGGCCCCCGTGGCTCTGGCCATAACCAAAGCAGAAGATAATTTTTAAAGATTGCTCAGCCCTTTATTTTTTGAGCCATCAGTATTTATAGCAAATCTAAGCACATCCAGGAGATGGTGCATTAAAGGTAGGCTGAGGTTTAAAATAAAAGTGATTGACATTTATGTTTCCCTGAAACAATGTGTGTGTAGAAATTGAACAGAGAATCTATTTCTATTCATAGACATAAAAGATATAAAGACATGTCACAACAAAAGCAGGCTAGATTAATAGCATCTATATTGTTTTCTTGGAACTATAGAAAATCTGATTTGAAATGACAAACATGAATATCATTGTTGAAATGTGATCATTATATCTCATTGCAACATATTTTAAAGGATAGTCCCACCTTGATATGAAAATCTTAGACTGAAATATAGTAAATATACTGCCTGTATTCTTGACCTGTTAGAATTTAAGTTAAAATTAGATTGTGGAGTTTGGCATATCCTCTATTGTGTTGAGAATATCCATGGACATTTATGGAGAGTCTACAGACACATATTTGGTTTGGTGAATTGGTGTTATGAATCTGTTTGTCACTTATAAATAACATAAAGCTTTGTGTGCAAATTATTTGTGTGTTGACAATTGATTTTCTATTCCTGTTGGTTACAGCTTTCTTACATGGTGTCCCGCTTGAAGTCAGACCAAGCCAAGGCTTCCTCAGAGGCTCTGAGAAAAGCGCAAAAGGAAAATAGTTCTGCCTTTTTGCTTAGTAATAGACTTGTCAAGGCCAGTCTGGGGCTGAAGCTGGGACCTTGAAGGTTGTATTTTTCCTGAGAATTTGTCTTTTACCCCTGAAGTGACCACAGTTATCAGTCCTAAGAGCACTGTGTGCTCAGTCTGTAATGTTCTTGAGACTCCCTGCATTCCTTTTGTGCAACATTGCTCGATTAGCATCTTGCTGACTTTCTGTCATTGTATGATAGATGCTCCTTACACTGATCCATTTCTTCATGGAAATAGGATACAAAGGACCTGACTATCAATAAATTTGATAAGGGATAAGATATAGCTTGTGAAAAATCTTCTGGTCCCAAACTTCCTTACCTTCTCTCTCTCTTTTGTTTTTTCTTTATCTCCTAATCGCCTGATCCTCTTTCTCAGACTCCTTAACTAAAGAAAGACCTGGTAGTCCAGGTCAATGTGCATTTTAAGTGAGACAGCTGATCCCTGAAAATCAATGGGGACATTTAGATCTCAGGTGATAAACCTTGGTATCTTAACTTAGGAAACTCAGTTCCAAATTTTCCATCTTCGCTTGTTTTGTGTCATATAATAGGTCTCTTAATTTCTATTAACCTTTGTCACAGGCAAAAGACAGGAAATAACAGTATCTCCAGAGATTCTAGTACAAAGTGAGGAATTGGGTATTGAAGTATTTACACATCTGTTCACTGGCAATATTGGCAGAGGCTGCATGTAGTGAAACATGCCTGGACTCTGAGCTCAGAGGAGACCGAAGCAAAATGATACATAGTTTGGTTTCAATTTTACATCATTGGATGATTTTGCATTTCAAAAGTGTCCATACCTGTTGGTACCAGATTAGGAACTGTAAATTTCCCAGAGACTTATAACCTTGTATCACTTGAAATAGTCATATTTCTTTACCAGGGATCTCCCTATCATATTTAAAATTAATTAATCAGTCTTGAGGCAAAGCATTATAAAACTCAGGCTGGCCTCAAACTTACCTTTGGATTGCTCAGCCTCTTCTGTGCTGACATTCTAGGTATATGTCACCATATCTTATTTATTCACCTTATTTTATGTGTTCAAATTAAGTATTTTGGTTTACTTAAGTGTTTTACAATAGCTATTAAAATTAGTTTGAACACAGTAATATATTTTTATGTTCTATTTAAAAATAATACAAGAAGTTATTTTGATATTGTTTTTTAAGCAGGTGTCTCTTTGTACGTGGGTATGTTCCTGTATGTGAAGGTGCCTGTGGAGGTCAGAAGACAAGTCAGTTATTCTAAAACTAGAGTTACAAGTGTATAATCACTCAGATACTTAATATTAATTATAAATGTTCAGGGTTGTAGCTCATGCTTTATTACTAACTAGCTCATACTCTTACAACTTGAATTAACCCATTTATATTAGTCTAAATTCTGCCACTTGGTGCTACCTTTCATTTTGCACCACCTATTTCCTCTCCTGGTCTGGCTGGTGACTCCTCTGATTCTTCCCTTCTTCTTCCCAGTGTCCTTAGTTTGGATTTCCAGGCTAACCTTATCCTGTCTAGGTGTTGATCAGTCAGCCTCTTTGTTAATCCAATCACACTGACATATATTTATACAGTGTAAAGAAATATTCCACACACATGGTTATGAGGTACCTAACCTAGGTGTTGGGAACCAAAGTCAGAGTCTCTACAACACTTTCCTGATGAGTTAAGTAAACTTAACCCAAGCTAGAGTCATCTGAAAGGAGGGAACCTCAATTGTAGAAATGCCTCCATAAAATTCATCTGTAGGGCATTTTCTTAATTAGTAATTGGCTGGGGAGTGCCCAGCCAGTGGTAAGAGGCATCAATATGGGCTGGTTGTACTGGGTTCTATAAGAATGAAGGCTGTGTCAAGCCAAGGAATTAAGCTAGTAGGTAGCATCTCTTCTTGGTCACGTTTTAGTTCCTGCCTCTAGGTTTTTGCACTGTTTGAGTTTCTGTCCTACCTGCTTTCCTTCAGTAATGAATAGTGCTTTGGAAGTGTAACCCAAATATGATGTTGCCTCCACAAGTTTCTTTAGTTATGGTGTTTCATCAGACCGAGTAATCCTAAACCAAGTTAGTACCATAAGTGGAGTATTGCTGTGACAGGTCTGACCATGTTGATTTGGAGAGGATTGTGCGAGGACTTTGGAACTTAGAAGAGCCATTGTGTGTTGAGAGTGAGTGAGTTGTTTTTTAAGATCTTGGGATATGAGAATGTTGAGAGCAGTATAGACAATAGAGGCCTGGCTTGTGAAGTTTCAGAGGAAAACAAAGTCAGAAACCAGTAATGTAAAACATTTACTTTTCAGGAACAGTGGATGCTTGTCAGCTGGGGTTGAAGAATTGGCTGAGATTAAGAAACCCAACTCATTCAATTGAAGTGTTCTGGTTAATATTTACCCAAGGTCAGAACACAGAAGCTGTGTTCCAGAAGTGGCCAAGTAGCTAAACATGGAATTCTAAGTCACCCAAGTATCACTGGTTTCGAAGGCATGAAGGGGTCAGGGAAAGCAGCTGAGACTTGTCACTGTGAAGTCAAGAAAGGTCAATGGTGAGTACCCAACCTCAGTGGCAGTTAAATGCCAAAGACTGAGAGCTAATGAATAGGTGGTGAGGCTTGACACCACGAAGAAAGCCTATGAAATGTTGTTGGTGTGAGTGCAGCTCAGTTGCAGCAAAAAGGCCCCAGAACGTGTTTGCCACATGTCCAAACATGATAGTAAAATTTCTCATTATATTTGATATTTCATCCTATAGATACTTTTATGTGTTTATTATGCTGTCTAAGATAATATTTCATGATTTATTCATTTTTAAGTGTTTAAGCCAAATATGTGAGAGCAAAAGTTAACCTCCAGTGTCTTCCTCTGTCATCCTTAGCATAGTTTTTGAATATAGGGTCTCTCATGAAAACTGATGCTCACCATCTAGACTGCATGGCCAGGTAGCTCTGTGGATCTTCCTGTCTTCATCTCTCCAGTGTTAATGTAACAGATGTAAATGACCATGTTCAACTTTTTACATGTGTTCTAGGGATCCATAATCAGATCCTCATGCTTCAACAGCAAGCATTTTACTTACTGAGCTGTCTACCAAACCCCAATAATTTTACCCATTTCTCTTAAAAAGAAACTCATGCAAAGACAACTGAAGGTGTGTTGAATAGAAATGATCATTTGTATTTATTGTATTTTGACTTGAAAGCTCTAGTCTTATAAAGACATATTTTATGATGTTTAAGATAGCCATACAAGTTTCTCATTTAATTTTCTATGATATTGAATAATGTGAGGATAAATCATGGTATTCTGATTTTTCAGTGCAATGTTCACTTTATTTACAAAACATTTTGATTCACTTTTACACCTGTGCTCTTATGTGGGATTGCAATCGTTCCTCAATTACTTCCATGACACATATGTATGTTAAAATTTCTTTCTTATATGTTCTTTTTCTTTTCTTTTGTTTTGTTTTTGAGACAGGATTTCTCTGAATTGCTTTGGACATGGTCCTGGAGATCGCTCTATAGACCAGGCTGGCCTGGAACTCAAAGCTTACATGTACAGGGAGGGGATTATAATATATGAACTTGTGTTAGTTTGAATGAGGATAGTCCCCACCTCACAGGTTGATATGTTTAAGTGCTTGGTTTGTAATGTGTGAAACTTGTTTTGGGAAGGACTAGGAGGTATAATCTCCTAGTTTATAGTTTATAAAGATTATACTACATTGATTCTCTCGCTGTCCCTCTCGCTCCTCCTCCTCATTCTTCCCCCCTCTCTCCCTCTCCCTCTCTTTCTCCCTCCCTCCCTCCCTCCCTCCCTCCCTCCCTCCTTCCCTCTCTCTCTCTCTCTCTGTGGATTAGAAGTATATTTCAACTACTGCTACAGCTTTGACTGCCTACTGCCTTGCTCCCTACCATGATGGTCATGGACTAACACTATGAAATGGTAACCAAGCCCCAAATTAAATACTATCTTTTAAAAGCTGTATTGGTCATGTTGTTTTTTTTTTTTTTTTTTTTTTTTCACAATAGTAGAACAGTAACTAAGACAAAACTCAAGATTTTGTGTTGTTGATTTACTTAGCATAAAAGTTAAGTTTAGTAACCAGTAACATGCATAATTTCAACACTGTACTTGTATGACTACTAGTAAGTTAACCAGGAACCACTAACAACAAACTTAAGTGTATATTTGCTAGTTTCTCATCGCAGCTATAAAAAATCAGCACAGAATGCATGATTTATTGTCTTACAATTCTT